GAGAGGACAGAAAAGCTCCCACAATGGGAGGAGACCCAAGGGGATTGCCCCAATGTTTTCTTTTAGGAAGATCATTACAGACTCTGCCCAAGATTTTTAATGGGGTCTGGTCACATAGGCACCTTCTGCCTGGCATATACCAGAATTCCAGACTTCTGATCTTCTAGAAGCTAATCATGTGTGCAGCATAAATCACTTTGTACAGTTGAGGTCTTATCAGTTATGCTCTTATCAGTTAGGGCATGATAGGAAGCCTCCCCAAATCCCAGTTCTCAGATGCCTACCAAGGACAACCTTGCAAACAGATCTTTCTAGGGACAGCAGTTTCAACTGTGTTATCTTTTTTCTACATAGTTGTAAAGAAAAAAAAAGATAAAAGATTACTTGGTTAAAAGTATGCTAACCAAGTTTCTATACTGGGTGGGAGGAAAAACTTCTGGATGAAAATGGAGATTCAAGTGATGAAATATGAAGTTCTATTTCTTGGGGATCTTAAGAATAAGGTTAACCTACCCTAATTTGAGTAAGAAGCAGGCTATGAATACAGGGTCTTGATTTTAATCTATGATTCTAGTCTTCACTTAAAGAACAATAGATAGCTGGCTTGCAAATATAGACATCCACAAAGGTCACAGAGACAATGGACCAGCATGTAACTACTTTTTATATTAATTCACTTTGTATGTTCTTTCCCTTTTCTAGTTTTCTAAATAGGATTACATTTTCTCTAATGTCTGAAAAGACACAATTATAAGTAGTAAAAGTGGATGGTCAGGTCTTCATCTTCATACCCAAGTCACTGAAAGCTGTGAATCAAATGACTCCACTTCAAATCCCGCCCTCCCCCCCAAATCATAATTTTTAAGCTCTACCTCGTGGGCCACCAGGAATATTCTTAAGGCATTCATTTTATGTTGGCAATACTTTGTATGACACTTTAATTTTCTGCAACCAGAGGCATCTCCCTGCATCTACAGCCTTCCAAGATTACCTGGTAGAACAGAGCCCCTGCTTTCAGGCAGGTGAATGACAAAATCACAGGGGAGAGAGGATTGCTTAATCCCATGGGAAATTTCCAGATGGAGAATCTGAGCATTTCATTACTAGCACATTTTCTTTCTTCCAAACAGTTAGGCTTTCTCTTACGTTCGTTTATGCCTATTTACTTTTATTCAGTTCACATATTCAGGTGAATAGTGGCACAGCATGTCCCTTGTCCAAAACTTTTCTTAAACCTAATAATAATGGTTATTATTGCTCAGACTTGTTTATCAAGGTGCAAGATTTCCTTCTTACTGGGCTTTATTTCTATTATTTTAATCATCTCTATCATTTTCCTCTTCTCCCATTTTTGTACATCTTTTTTAAAAGCATGGACCAAAATTGGACTCAATTTTTTTCAACCCCCAAATACCGCAGTCTGATACATATATAAAGTCTTTACAAAAGCTGTTAAAATTATATATAAATTAGAATATATATTTAATAATGAAAATAAATAAAACATGTATTCATTTTCTTTCTTTGAAAGGTATTGGCATACCACATAAATTACATTGATCATATGTTGGGATGCAATTCCTTGTCTGTTAAAAGTAAATTTAAAAATATATATCTTTTTGCTGCAACCTGGATGGAACTAGAGTCTATAATACTGAGTGACCTCTCACAAAAACAAAAATCCGAATATCACATGTTCTCACTCATATAATGGACCTTGAACATCCAATGCAATACTATGAGAAAATGACGGATGGTACTGGGAAACTATGGGGGGGAGGGGGATGGGATTAACAGTAGCAAATATCTGTCGGGGGATGGGAAAACACTTCTTATCTACAGGGTGCCTGAATGAAATGTCATTGTACACCTAACCCTTAACTGTACCCCACAAAACCATAATAAAAAATACTGATTAATGAAAAATATATATATATATATATGTTTTAAGAAGCAAGGATCTTTGGCAATAAACAGACTGACAAAAATTCACTATGGACTAGCTGCTGAGAAGAGCTGCTCTCCATGTGTAAGAGTAAAGAACAACATTGAAGAAGAATACAACTCTCAAACTCCCCATACCTATAGATGTTTATGCTTGTCACTCTACTTGCCTGGCACCAAAAGTCCATGCTGTCCTTTAGTTCTATTTTTTTTTTTTTTTGAGTTGGAGTCTCACTCCGTCACCCAGGCTGGAGTGCAGTGGCACGCTCATGGCCACCCCAGAGTCAACCTGCTGGGCTTTGGCTATCCTTCCGCCTCAATCTTCCAAGTTGCTGGAAGTACGGGCACACGCTACCATGCCTGGCTAATTTTTTGATTTATTATAGAGATGAGGTCTCACCAAGTTGCCCATGCTGTTCTCCAACCTGTGGGCTCAGGCAATTCCCTCATCTCGGCCCCCCAAAGTGCTGGGATGACAGGCTTGAGCCACCGCACCCAGCTCCTTTTGTTATAATAGTCCTTCCCTGCATTGCCTACTCATTGTCAGTTTGAGTCCACTGTTAGCCCAGACTCTTTTCTGCTAAGTTCATTTCTCTCTCTTTGATTTTAAATGAACCCTCTGTCATTTAGTTGTTATTGAACGTCTTCTTATATTTATATTACTCCCTATATTGAGACTATTGCTATTCTCAATATCAAGGTAATTAAAACTTACATTTCTATGCCTTAGAATATTCCAAACCCCACCTAGTTTCATGTTCTTTGGAAATTTGATGAAGTTAATCTTGATAATTTCTCCTGAGAAATAAATTTTTTAATTATTCCTTTTTTCTTGTGAACATATTATTTGTGTATTTATTTATTTTAGAATTTGGGGGTACAATGAGGATCTGCTATGTAAGTAGGCTGCATGCAGGTGAAGTTGGGGCTTCTGGCTGGCCCTTGCTCCCCCGGTAGTGGACCAGGTACTCATTGTGTTGTCACATGCCCTCCACCCTCTTCTCTCCCTCCCTCTCATAGCACTGCCCAGAGACTGCCGATCCCACCCTTGTGCTTATGTGACTAGTCTTCAGGGACTGCTTATGAGTGAGAACATGCAGTATTCAGTTCTTTGTTTCTGTAATAGTTCAAAATATTTTAAGTAAAATGAGTCCTGAGACTGCTCTGGGTAGGTAGGATACATGGGATGGGTCTAGAGTATTAGGAATTTTTTGTTTTTTGTTTTTTTGAGTTGGAGTCTCACTCCATCTTCCAGACTGGAGTGCAGTGGCAAACTCAGAGCCATCCCAGTGTCAACCTGCTAGGCCCAGGTGATCCTTCCACCTCAGCCTTCCAAGTAGCTGGAACTACCAGGGATGGCGTGCCCTACCATCCCTGGCTAATTTTTTGAATTTTGTAGAGATGAGGTCTCACCAAGTTGCCCAGGCTGTTCTCAAACCCATGGGCCCAGGTAATCTCCTCATCTCGGCCTCCCGAAGTGCTGGGATTACAGGCTTGAGCCACTGCACCCGGTCAGGAGTTTTTAATGAGAACTCTAATGTAATAGTCTACATAAAGTGCAGAATGATGCAAAATCCAAGAATTGTTTTTTTCCACAAAGTGTATTCTCAAACTATAAAGATATCATTTAACAAATATAAAAGAGAATTCCAAAACAATAAAGAAGGTTTAGAAGAGGATCTGTGGGATTTTTTGAGAAGTGATTCTTTTAGTATCACCAGGCCCAGTTGTTTAACTGCAAGGCAAAAGTTGTGGTACAGTGACGTCAAAGAAAAACCTTGACTGTGTCACTAGTGTTTACTATTTACTTGGTAGAAAATAGTTGGGTGAGTGTGTGTGGGTGTATGTGTGTTCATATGCTTATATCTGAGGTGAGAGGGACATGAGGGTGGAAGAGTCCCTCAATGAGCCCATCGAGTTTGTACTACGATATGCAGTAAGTCCCCTACATATGAATCTTCAAGTTACAAACTTTAATGATGCACACCAACATTTTAAAAAATGTATTTTTTTCTCTACCAGGTGTCAGTATAGTCTGCTAAATATTTACAGTGCTGTAGCTGATTGTGTTAGTGGGGTACCTAGGCTAACTTTGTTGAACTTACAACAAATGAACTTAGGAATGTGCTCTTGGAACAGAACTCATTTGTATGTTGGAGACTTCCTGTATATCTTTTCCAAATGGAATCTTATAACACTTGTTCTATAGATAATCACTTGATTTGGTGAGTAGCTAACATGGTGTATTTATTTCACAGTTTCACATCTTTATAGTTATTTTATTATTTATTTATTTTTTTGAGTTGGAGTCTCACTCTGTCGCCCAGACTGGAGTGCGGTGGCCTCTCCCAGTCACCGCAGCCTCGACCTGCTGGGCTCCGGCCATCCTTCCGCCTCAGCCTTCCGAGTAGCCGGAATTACAGGCACGTGATACCATGCCCGGCTGATTTCTTTTTTTTGATTTATTGTAGAGATGAGGTCTCGCTGCCCAGGCGGGTCACGAACCTGCGGGCTCAGGCAATCCACTCACCTCAGCCTCCCCAAGGCACGGGATTACAGGCTGAGCCACCGAGCCCGGCTTATAGTTATCTTTATAGAATGCTTAAATGGGGTTTCAGAGCAGATATTTCTTTTTAAGCTTTTTTAAAAATCACAAATATGATCGAATCATACAACTACATTCTACCTCTTTTAGTCTCCTTATTCCATTAGAAACATTTTTGTTAAAAGATTAGTGATCAAACCCACAGGAACTGAATTGTGAGAAGAATCATAAGAAAAAGACTGAGAGTCTGTGGCTCTAGGAAGTTACAGACAGAAACTGTCTTCTAAAGCCATGATTTATTTTTGAAAAGGACAAAGCCACACATTTATTAGAAAAGGAAGCTAAGGAATTGAAGATGGTGAGATTCTTTAAAATAAGTGAGGCTGAACTGAAAACCTTTACCCTGACACACTCGCCAGTCACCATTTTTGATGCTGTAGGCTGAGTTTGGCCAAGGAGCAGGGAGAGATGCACACTTGTGCTTCTTGTGTTAGGGTGAGACTGGTTGGACTTGGAGAAGACAGCACACCTGTGGCTGGAACATAGATTCTGCAACATGTCCCATTGTTGCTCAGAACTTTCAGGACTCAGGACCAACATTCTTCTGCTTATGCAGGATAAGCCACTCAGAGTAGTCCAGCTATAAGGACCAAAGATCTGAGCAAGTCCAAGCTTACTTGAGCTAAGCCTGTTGTTCCTGGCTAATGCAGTTTGTTATCTGATAAGCATCATTCCTGGTCATTAGACCACAGGCCTGAAAGCTCCTCCTGGAAGGATGCAGAGGGTCTGCTGCTAGGAACATGATGTCCTGTATTAGAGCAGCTGAAATGACAGAATGACAGGGACTCTGATGGCAGCCAAGCTAGTACTTTTAGTACCTCACCAATATGTGAGTAAAGGTGGCTAGAAAATGGACTTACTTCTTCAAGTCTTTATGACAAGTCCATATTAAGACTCCTAAAATAAGTTTTAAATTTTTTTTTCAATTTCTATCCATGATGTGGGAAAGGGGCTTTTGTATGATTTAGGACTGATGTATATATAATAGTAAAATGATGACATGTTTAATGAACGAAGAAAGCCTCAGAGTCCTCCAAATCTGGTGAATCCATTGGATCTTAGAAACAAGGGATTTATGTTTTAGATTATTGATCCATTAACTTTTTTATTTGCTTATATATGATTTTTCAATAATACCACTATGAGTTTGGGGACAATTCTGCTGTGGTATTAAATAATACTCATTATTAAAAACTCATCTTAATATTGAGTTAGTACAATTACTTCCAGTGAATTGATGTAAGTCCACATTTCATTTTAATCAAAAACAAAAACTAGAAAATGTTACTCCCTAGTCAATAATACATTTTGTAAGTACTGCAGAGATTTAGTAAATAACATATATGATTAATTCAGAAACAATCCCTGACATGGTAGGGCTGCCTAATACATGCAATGGTCTCCTTCCCGTTTTTATATAAGGTACACACAGGCCAGGGAGCCACTGAGCAAATAGTCCACCCTGAGTATGTTTGTAATCTTGGGCTCCATGGGGAAGTGCTTGGTAAAGATGAAAGAGGAATGGACCGATGTTTCCGTTACAAGTCCTTGTAATGCTAGGACTTCTACACAGCTTAGAATAATGGTTGAGGGTCCATTCTTTAAGGAGAAATGCCCAAATGTTATTTTAGTACCTTGCAGCACCATTGGGTTAGGGTGCACACTTAGCCTAGAATACCATTTACTTTTACATCACTACCATGTTCTGTTGAAGACTATAGCATGCAAAAAATTCAACATCACCTCAAAAATACATGTAGTATGCCCAGTAAAATACATTGGCTAGCATAAAAATCAAAGGAAAGAGCAGTTTGGAATACCGATCAACATTGCTGGGGTTTTGAATTGTGAAATAATCAACAATCCTGGCCATCTTTTCTCGGAAGACAAACTTGAATTTGTCACTGGTTTTCATAGTCAAGTTGCTATAGTCGACGTTATCGCTGGAAATTTCAATGCTGGCAAAGCTGATCTTGTGTCTAAAGCTGGAGATGGAGCTGTTGATGATGTTAGTAATATTGACCTCTTCCACTTCCTTTGCTTTCCCCTAGTTCATAGAAAATGTTGTTAGCTTAAAAGACTTGACTCAGCAAAATAAACAAGAGGGTAATGAACTAATGAAAAGTTCACGGGTAAAAGTATTGAATAATTAGGCTTAATAGAAAGTAACATTGAGTACCTGAGAAATTGGCCAGTAAGCCAGACTTGGAATCCTGTTATCCTGTTTGTGGGTACCTATATGTAGATCACCAGGATTTATAACAGAAAGAATAATCATGGCCCACTCCAGAAATGCAGAGCAGTGTGCTAGATGCCAAATGCTCAACCTTCGAAGTTAGCAGACCTGGGTTCAAATCCTATTCTGCCTTTCACTACTGGAAATTTTAGCCACCTTAATCCCTCTAAGACTCAACTTTCTTGCCTGTCAAATATGATGATTATATTAATACGTATAAGGCTCATAGTGAGAAGTTTAAATGGTATAAATTATCTTGTAAAGCATCTAGTAGGTATTTGATGAATTCTATTTTGTTCCAGGGAGAAGGGGGTAACTGATTGTGTGAGATAATAGAAAAGGGCTGTGTGTTGAAGTCTTTGCCACGCAAGCAAAAATAGTCCATTCTTAAACATGACTGGGGCAACACAGAATGTGGGAGTGTAGTGAAGTCAGAGATAGTGTAATTTGGATCCTTTGCCTGGCCACTTACTGGGTGCAAGATCCTCACACCTCTGAGTGGCAGACTTCTCAACAGTAAAATTGGGATAATAATGGCACCCATTTCACTGGGTTGTTGAATGGACTAAAGGAGATGTTGATGGGTGTTTAGGACACAGCAAATACTCTATAGTGCAGCTATTATCATAGACACAACGAAACAAGGGCTTTATGGTGTCTGCAGTGCAATCTTTCAGTAATTCTCCAGCTTCTTTATTGCCAATCTAGCAAATCTAGATTTGATGGGGTAGGGTGGTAATTCAACTTTCTTCCTTCCTTCCCCTTAAGGTAGCCTACAGGGAGCAAGGGAAATGAAATCCACTTTCTTCTTTGGCTAGCATGTGTGACAATTTGCCTTTGGTGCTTAGATAATATGACTGTGCGAAACACTGCAACAATAGCCAAACACAGGAGAAAAAGCAGCTGCGTCTTTGGGCTCTTCTGATTCCTCTTTCCTCACTGTTAGACCCTTATAGTCCTAGCATTTTGCTAAAGGTGGGCATTTTTTCTGAACTGAATCCCTATTCTTTTCTTGCTTGTCAGCATGAGCTTTAGAATGTCAAATCTATTACATTTGGCTTCCAAATAACTCCAGGCTTCCATGGGCTTGTAAAGAGCAATAGTTAAGAGGGTGGCCCAATGCCCACTGCAAGTGAGAATGGCAGATAATTGTCAGCCTTTGGAACCAAGCAGACTTAGGTTGGAATTCCAGCTCTACCTCTCAGTATTTGTATCCCCTGGGATAAATCCTTTTCCCTTCCTGCTCTAAGATTTTATAAATGTAAAAATAGAGATGACAACCTTACAGGGTTGTTATGAACATTTTAAATAATATAATATTTACAAAAGGTTTATTACTCTGTCTGGAACATGTAAATTCTTGACAAATAATAACCACTATTATTGTTCAGAGAGCTGGACCACAGTGTTCCATTGCTAAACCAAATAATGAGTCTTTCTCAAACTGCAGAAAAATATACTAGCCAAAAAATTTGTCACAATCTAATTTTTCCAAACAAAATAATTAAATAGTGAATACATATTAATACATGCAATGATCTCTTTCCCTTTTTTTTTTTTTTTTGAGTAGGAGTCTCACTCCATCACCCAGGCTGGAGTGCAGTGGCACGCTCACGGCCACCCCAGCATCAGCCTGCTGAGTTCCAGTGATTCTTCCACCTCAGCCTTCTAAGTAGCCAGAACTACAGGTGTGCACTACCACGCCTAGTTAATTTTTGATTTATTGTAGACACAGGGTCTCGCCAAGTTGCCTGGGCTGGTCTCAAACCCACGGGCTCAGGCAATCCACTCGCCTCAGCTTCCCAAAGTGCTGGGATTACAAACTGAGCCACTGAGCCCGGCCTCCTTCCTGTTTTTATATGAGGTGCACGCAGGCCAGGGAGCCACAGAGCAAATAGTTCACCCTGATTATGGTTTAATTTTGGGCTCCATGAGGAAGTCCTTAGTAAAGATGAAAGAGGAATGGAATGATGTTTCCGTTACAAGGTCTTGTAATGCTAGTACTTATACACAACTTAGAATTATGGTCAAGGGTCCATTTTTTGAGGAGAAATGCCCAAATGTTATTTTAGTCCCTTGATCAGTCCCTGTAAGCAGCTGATCATGTTTGAATTGATATTGGATTTTTCATGTATGCTTGTTCTTGTGCTTCTGATTTTATGTTGCATATAGATGACAGAGTTATTTTCTGCTGGAAAATTAAACATTATTATCTCATTGTATTCGGTGAAAAGACCAGTCTTTTGCAAACGGCACTATGACTTCCAGATGCTGCCGCCCAACCAAGGATGAGATTCACTGCAGCAAAGTGAATCACTGGAGGGCGGGAACCAGGTCCAGCCTATCTCTACAGACCTGCACATGGTACAGGTGACGGATCATGCATGGGGCCCTTAAAATTCTTACCCTATCTTTGGCTGCCATCTGCTGTAAGGAGCTGTAGTGAGCAACTGCATATTCCAGCAAGGCCCCAAACACGAAGCTAAAGCAGATCCCCAGGTACACATCGATGGCCTTTATGAAGCAGTTGGTGTTGGGAAGAGAAGTGCGGGACCCGATCATCAGTGTGGTCATTGATAACACGGTGGTCACTCCTGGGAAAACAGGCAGGAAATATTCCCATGTCAGTGGCCAGTGAACCCTCCACCATGACCTGGCAGAGTGTCTCCACTCAGGAATTGGCAGGACTCAGAAATGGAGCATATCTCATTCTGAAAAATATTCCAGCTTCTGGAACAGGGTTGATTTGCCCATGTTGTACAGATATGAGTGATATGGTTTTCTAAGTGTTTCACCTTCTGCCTTCTCCTTCCTTAGAGGGAGTTGTTCAGTACACAAATAACTGACAATAGACTATCTAATCACAAGTGTCCTCATCTGTCACTGTAAGACATATGTTTAAAAATGCACTGCTCTCAGAGTAGTCTCTCTGTCTCTGTCTATTTCTCTTACTCTTTCTCTCTCTGTAAAATAATCCCTCAAGAAACCAATTATTGGAACTGCCCTATGAAGATCAATGAAAACAATGGTAGAAGAAAAAAAAAAAAGGTACCTGACAAGTCAGTCTCAGAACCCTCCTGTCGGAGCTGCTTACCAATGCAAGTCCTTGCAGGAACCGAATCAAGGGAAATCCAAAATGAAACCCAGGATAGCACCACCAGGAATGTGGAAGGAACGTAGGTTTCCAAAATGAAATACAGAACATTCCTCCGAAGCTCAAATTGCAAGACCAGTCTCGTATAATTCCCTGGTAGGGTAAATAAGATATACAAAATCATACCTATTCATGTAGCAGAGTAGTTTCCCTATGGGATGTTCAGCTCAGCCATCTTCCCATTAAGCCTCTGTCATTCTCCAAAATTGGGTTAATTATGAGCTGTCATTAAGGTTTTCAAAAGAGACACTGCTATTGCATCAAATGGATTTAAAGGGATGCTGCCCCTCCACTTGTGTCTTTCTTGTGCTTTTCTTGTTTACAGCACTCCTACAGCAGTTCCCTCACTAGACAGTGAGTCCCTTGAGGGCAAACCCTGGGTCTTTCAGTTCTGTGTTCACAAAGTAGCTGTTCAATAAATACCTGTTTCATGAAGATTAGCTGTGATCATCTATTTTTCAATAGAATAAATGTGCTATGGAATAAACCTAATCAACCTATTAAATATAGGTTAATTTTTGATAATTTTAGAGGCACCCCAGTTCTTTTGGTACTTTGGGGCCATCTTTAGGAAACGATCAATATGTTCTAGATGTGATGAATGCTAGCTGTAGAGAGTGATCATGAACAGAGTTCTGTATGGCAAATAGGCTAGCACAGCACAAAACATATGCCCAGGGTTAGAATACCAAGTTATGTTCCTTCCACCTCAGCCTTCCAAGTGGCTGGAACCACAGGAATGTACCAGGCTAATTCTCTTTATTTATTGTCTTTATTTATTGTCTTGCACCCCCAGGCTCAGGCAATTCTCTCACCTCTGTCTCCCAAAGTGTTGGGATTTTAGGCATGAACCACCACGCCTGGCCATGGGTATATTTTATGCATGAGAGAGGCATGGGATTTGAGCAATCTTTAGAAAATATCTGGAGATAAATAGCATCAGGCTTCAAAGATGGTCCAAAGGTAAGCTCCTCAGTGGACCACTTCTACACTGGATGTGAGCAGGCACAAGCGCTGACCCCAAGACTTACTCTCCCCTCCACTGAATCCCAAAGAGGTAACGTGGGGGAAGCGATTAGATTTGTGACTTAGGGAACAACCCTCCACGTTGGTGTGCTTATTTTTATGTTGTACAGTTTGTCACACGAGTTACCTGTCTCCTGCTGCGATCTAGTGACTAAGGTGAAGTACCGTTGTATGGTGTACTGAGCAAGCCGCAGGTTTTCGAGTCCACGCACAGAGTCATTTCCTCTCAGCCAGGTGAACTCCACGTCATTTCCATCATAGCCCCCTGGCAAGTAAAGCAAAGCCCTGGTCAGTGCAAGGGTGTTGCAAACTGAGCTGACCTGGAAAATGGTCCAATACGGAGACAGCATGGGCTCTTTCTTGATGAAGATAAGTCCAAGGACAATCCCATGCTAAACTTGGCGAGGTTTCTCAAGTGCAAATGCAGCTGTTCAGAATGAAGCGACCTACTAAGATTACTTGCCATCAGTTGAGAACTGGTCCTGTGTTGATCAGGTGGATGATAAGCCTTTAAAAGTGGGCCCTTCATTATTTAAATGATATTTATTGAACACACATCTGTGAACACACAAAAGATTATGCTAGATATCACCTTTCAAGCCTGTCTCATAACTGACGATGTCTTCAGGGACTTTAGAACTGACTTGTTCATATTTCCACATTGGCATAAATGCAAAAACAAAAACAAAAAACCTACAGCCAGCTGCTTTATTGAAGTCTGTAAACATGCGTGTTTGATAAATCTCAAAGCAGTTTAATTAATATAGTTAATGATAGTAATATTAAATACCTTTTATTAAACAATTATGTGAAGTATCTTATACATTATGTCACGAATTTTCTTACAAACTTGCAAGGCAGACATTTCCCTATCCAAGTATAAGATGGAGTTGTTTTTTTAATCATTTTCTGAAATTGAGATGAATCTTATAGTTGATTTATATATATAAAGTAGAGCTTATATTTTTCCTAAAATCTTATTATTTAATAAATGCTCTTCCTTAGAATTGGGAAACTATAATGATTTTCACACTTTACTGACGAAAATCCTCAGATTCAGAGGGGTTGCATAACTTTCTCAGGATACCAAAGAAAGAAATCTCAGTAAAGTTTAATTTCTGAGTCCAGGACGATGATGATGTTAATAATATCTATCATTTAGCAGGCAATTACATTTCTAGGCACTCACAACATCATCATCATCTCATTTAAGCCTCAAAATATATTTTGAGAAGATATATGAATGATTCATAGGCACACAAGAAGATGCTCAACATCCTTAGATACTAGGAAAATTAAAGTCGAAAACACAGTAAGATACCTCACACCCGTTAGAATGACTGTAAGAAAAAAGTCAGATACAAACAAATGGCCAGGGCATAGAGAAGCTGGAATAGTACTGGAAGGAATGTCATATGGTACAACCATTTTGGAAAACAGTAACAGTTTGGCAATTTCTTAAAAACGCCAACATAAATTTACCATTTGACCCAGCATTCCATTTCTAGGTATCTTCCCAAGAAAAATGAAATCATGTCCATACCGACTTGTACACCAATGTTCATGGCAACATGATTCATAATAGCCAAAAGGTGGCAACAAACCAAATATCTATCAACGGATGAATAAATAAGTAAAATATGATTGATACATATATTCATATAAAAAACCACTCAGCAATAAAAAGGAATTGAAACTGGCCCCACTTCTCCATAGAACTGAGGTTACAGTTTTTGAATAAACATAGAAGCTGACCCTCTAGGTCTTAGAGCTTGAAGTTTATATTTGTCTTATCTGAGCTCCTTTCTCAGAAAACTGACCCTCAGGCCTATAGTGTCAAGGAACTGAAACACACCAGCTCATTGCATTCAGACAAGAAGTCAGACCCCTCCTGTTTGCTAACCTTTCTTCTTTATCTTTCCCCGATTCCTGTTTACCAACCCCTCTTTCTTACCCTTCCCTAATTCCTGTTTTCTACATTCCTGCCCTGCTAAATAAACCCTGACTTCAGTGGGACAGGGAAATGGATTTGAGACTAATTTCCTGCTCTTCTTTGCTGATATCACCCAATTAAAAGCCTTCCTTACTGGCAATGCTCCTCGATCTCAGCTTTCTCTAGGTTGAGCAGTAGAACCTCAACCAAACCCCTGGAGTTTAGGTAACAGAACAAAGTATTAGAACATGCCACAATATCTATGAATCTCAATGCACTATGCTAAGTGAAAGAAGTCAGATACAAAAGACCACATCTTGTATTGATTCCATTTATATGAAATATCCAGGAAAGGCAAATTCATAGAGACAGAAAGTACATTAGTGGTTGCCTAGGAGCTGGTAGTGGGAATGGGAGTGACTGCAAATGGGCAAAGGGGGTCTCTTTGGGGTGCTGGAGATCTTCTAACAATGGCATGTGGTGATGATTGCACAACTCAGTAAGTTTATGAAAAATATTTGAATTGTACATGTAATGTTGGTGTATATAATTGTACAATTGTGAGTTTATGGCATATAAATTATACCAGAAAAAAGTTGTTAAAAACAACTCTTTGGAGCCAGGTGTGATGGCTCACGCCTGTAATCCCAGCACTCTGGGAGGCAGAGGCAAAAGGATTGCCTGGGCCCAGGGGTTCAAGACTAGCCTGCATAACTTGGTGAGACCTTGTCTTTACAATAAATCAAAAAATTAGCTAGGTGTGGTGGCGCATGCCTGTAGTTCTAGCTACTTGGAAGGCTGAAACGGAAGTGTCACCTGAGCCCAGCAGGTAGAGGCTGCGGTGGCCATGAGTGTGCCACTGCACTCCAGCCTGGGCGACAGAGTGAGACTCCAACTCAAAAAAAAAAAAAAAAAAGCTCTTTGGGTCAGACACTATTATTTTCCCACTTCACATGAGGAAACTGAGATCCAGAGAGGTTAGTTACTCACCCAAAGCTAGTGATGGGGAAAAACCCAGCAATTACAGTGCCTGTAATGTTAAACACAAAACTATATTGCCTTTGTTTTCAAAGGCTACTGGGAAATGTGATCCCAGCGTTGGGACTAACATTTTGCTAACATTTTGGGACTAACATAAGTCTCAGCTTATGGTATCCACTACCTAGCAAGGGTTATCTCTCCCCACATAGGGCAGAGAATTAGAGTCATATGCTTATAGGAGATTTCCAGGTAAAAATTATCTGTGAGTTTTCCCTTGAAAGCACCCAAAATGTGCTAAAGCTAGATGCTAAATAGGCCTACCATCCCAAAGAAATAAAAAATATCTATAAAAGTGAGTAGTACAAGTTCCTACTCGGACACTTTTCTTTTTTAGCTTTTGCATTTTAGTAAATGCTCATAATCATTACATGATCACCTCTCTGTCCCTGGGTGAACATAAAAAATTGTGGGATGGTATCAATTCTTTTCTAGGGATAGCATTTAGAAATAAACCCCCTTGCCCAGGCACAGTGGCTCAAGCCTATAATCCCAGCACTTTGGGAGGCTAAGGTGAGAGGATTGCCCAAGCCCGCAAGTTCATAACCAGCCTGGGCAACGTGATGAGACCTCGTCTCTATACTAAATCAAAAAATTAGCTGGGCATGGTAGCATAGTTCCGGCTACTTGGGAGGCTGAGGTGGAAAGATTGCCTGAGCCCAGCAGGTTGCTGCTGGGGTGGCCGTGAGCATGCCACTGCACTCCAGCCTGGGTGACAGAGTGAGACTCCTACTCAAAAAAAAAAAAAGAAAATAAGAAACCCTTAGGGAGATCTCTGTACCCAAAATACTGCTAATAAGCATTCAGTGAAAGCTGCTGCTTCTGCTCACTGGGGATAATCTGTGTAAGCAGAACGCTGAGGTTTCCAGGAGAACCTTGCTTCTTGGGATTTGAGACGAGTACAGCCACCACACAAGGAGGGTAATCATCCCCAAGTGGGAGTAAAAATGAGTTCTCTTTTTGATAACCTCAAGTTTTATTCTGCCACCAAACAGCTGTATTGCTTCAAGAAGGTTTTGCATGTACTTTATCAATAAGATAATTAATCTGAGTCTTTAATTAAATGTCTACTTCTGAAAAATGACTTCTGTCTCATAATGACTGTGCTTTTCTGATACTGTCTACCTGTGACCTTATGTAAGGAGTGCCCACTACTCTCCAGAGCTTTACTATAGTATTTCTGTCACACACAAGCCATACTTTGATGGCTTAATAAATCATGTCTGTGGAGTGATTTGCCTGTCACAGGTGCCCAAGTTTGGTGGGCATGGTTTATTAAGGAATTATGGAGATTATTTAACAATGACAGGAGATTTATTTGACACACATCAATTTAGAGTAAACCCTCAGTCTTCATCACAAGCAAATCCCCAGATACCATGTAGATGCTCATTCACAGGTAATCCTGTATTTTATATATATTTATAATTTATATTTAGATATATATTCCTGTATGTTATATGTGTGTGTGTGTGTGTGTGTATATATATATAATTTCTTTTAAAAGTTGGAAGCATTTGTGTGAGAAATGTCACTGGCTTTGCATATCTGCCATTTCTTTTTTTTTGGTTTTTTTTTTAGTCAGAGTCTCACTCTGTCACCCAGGCTGGAGTGCAGTGGCACACTCATGCCCACCCCAGCGTCAACCTGCTGGACTCAGGTGATTCTTCCGCCTCAGCCTTCCAAGTAGCCGGAACTTCAGGTGCACGCTACCATACTCAGCTAATTTTTTGATTTCTTGTAGAGAGGCTGTTTTCAACCTCGTGGACTCAGGCAGTTCCCTCACCTTGGCCTCCCAAAGTGCTGGGATTACAGACTTGAGCCACTGCACCTGGCCTGTCTGCCATTTCTTACCTCTGCTGTGTTTCTTTGTGCTTCCATGTCTTGCAGATTCTGCATCCCACTCCTTGTCCTGTTGGCCAGTTCCAACTGATCCCCCATGTTTCATTTCAAGTGACACTTCCCCTAGGTAACGTCTGACTCCCCTGGGTTTCCCTAATGCCATTACTTTTTATTGTTATCATTTATTCTGTTATAATTATTTAAAGTCCTGTACCTTCTATTACATTGTAGACTTCCTGAAGACTGGAACATTGTTTTTATCTTTGCATTGCAAATATCTACCACAGTGTGTAACACAGAATAGCCAGCCACCTTGTTGTTGACTGGCTGAACTGAATGCATTCAAAAAAGGATAGACAGATAGAACTCAAGCAGGTGACTTTAGGGGCAATACGTAAAACTAAAACATTAGATTGAGAAAAAAGTTTGTTTTTTTTTAGCACACACAGAAAAGGAAAAACACTGGCCTTGATCCTAAGTAATGCAAAGGAACTGGCACAAGAATACGTTTGAGACCACTATGTGGTAATCAGATAGTAATTCAGTGGAACATCCTGGCAGGATTTAGGTAATTCAATACAAGCATCATGCGGTTACTCAATTTGGGGAACAATGATGATAAGAAATGGGCGCTGAAGAAACTGGAAAGGAGTTATTATTAAAAGCTTTTCATTATCCCCATATTACTGTTTAAAAGCACTTTATGGCCTGGTGCAGTGGTTTACGCCTATAATTCTAGCACTCTGGGAGACCCAGATGGGGGGATCACTTGAGCCCAGGAGTTTGAGACCAACCTAGACAACATAGTGAGACCTTGTCTCTACACAAAATAAAAAAATTAGCAGGATGTGGTGATGCATGCCTGTAGTTCCAGCTCCTTGGGAGGCTGGGGCTGAAGGATTGCTTGAGCCTAGGAGGTCAAGGCTGTGGAGAGCCATGATTGTGCCACTACATTCCAGCCAGGCTGACAGAGTGAGACTTTGACTCAAATAAATAAATAAATAAATACACTTTATGGTATACTCATGAAAAATATACAGATCAGATCACAGATAAGCCACTGGAACAAAATCCCTGGGTGGCTCTCCAGCCCAGTGGAAGAGCCACTAGAATTAGTGAACTTTTGGACTTTGGACCCACTCTACCTGGGTTCACGTCCCAGTGTTGCTACTTACTTACTTTGTTTCCTTGGGAAAGTTACCAAATCATAATGCACCTCATTAGTATATAATTTCTATATCTTCAAGATGGGAAAAACAATATTTATCTCATGGGATTGTTTGGAGAGTAGCTAGTATAGTGCCTTGCATATAGTAAGAAATTGGTAAATAGATGCCATAGTATTTAGCTGAAAAATAGCATTTATTATTAGTGTTCCAGTAAAACTTTGTTTACAGAAATAGCCAATGGGCTGAATTTGGCACATGGACTATAGCTTGCTGACCCAGACCTATACCACTAACTAAATTAAAGCATTTCCTTTGGCTGTCTTGCCCACTCACAAGTGGAGATATCTGGTACTGCTGAACAATGGCTCACCCAATAGATGTAAGGTTGGGAAGTGTTTCTTTGAGAAGTCTCTAAATCTGTCTGCAAGTACAGAATCCACTGTGAATCAACATCAAGAAAACAAAGATTACTGCGTGAGGATTACTCATCTTGAACACACAGACCTAAGGCACCCAGGAAAATCATCTCAGGAGCCTGCAGGACAAATACTCACAGCTTTCCAGCTGCAGCTTGCATGTCTGTGTGTCCATGGGGTATTTAGAAAGATCCATGTTGCACGCAACAGTTGTTGTGATTCTAAGAAAGGAAAAATAGGTTAAAAAGCAGCCTTATGAGGAAGCTATAGAAAGTACACATTCCCTTCCAAGGGTCACTGCACGAGGGCTTTCACTTGAACTCTTACAGTGAACATGTGGCTTGGAGCTCACATGCAAAGCATCCTTGAGGCTTTCTGTGCTAAGTAATGCCCATGAGTTTCAGTTAAAACTGGGTCTGGGCTAGGTTCGGTGGCTCATCCTGTAATCCCAGCAATTTGGGAGACCGAGGAGAGTGGGTTGCCTGAGCCCACGGATTTGAGGCCAGCCTGGGCAACTTGGCAAGACAGGTCTCTACAATAGATCGCAAATTAGCTGGGTGTGATAGCACGCACCTGTAGTTCCGGCTACTTGGAAGGCTGAGGCGGAAGGATCGCTGGAGTCCAGCAGGTTGAGGCTGCAGTGGCCGTGAGTATGCCACTGCACTTCAGCCTGGGCAATGGAGTGAGACTCCAACTCAAACACACACACACACACACACACACACACACACACACACACACACACACACACACATACAATGGGTCTGGTGTGAGGGGAGTTGGAACACTGGTAATTCAGAGGCAGAATTCCGACAATTTTGCAGAACAGACTCACTCACTGGCTTGTCTGAGCTGCTTTTGTATCCAGTTACTAAATCTAACTTTTGTGACAGACCCGTCACTGTGGAGCTGCCTTTTTCCCAGACTGAGTGCAGTGGCATGATCATGACTACTACAGCCTCGACTTCCTGGGCTCAGGCGATCCTTCTGCCTCAACCTCCTGAGTAACTTGGACTATAGGCACATATCACCACATCCAGTTCATTTTTTTTTTAGAGATGAAGTCTCTCTGAGTTTCCAGGGCTGGTCTTGAACTCCTGGGCTCAAGCAATCCTCTCACTTTAGCCCCCCAAAGTGCTGGGATTACAGGTATGAGCCACTGCACCTAGCCCCATTTACCTTTTAAGACTCAGCTTAGAATCCTGTGAAAGTGTCCTCTAACATCACCCTCAAACCACTAATCTACTCCCCAGCTTGGGCTCCAGAAGCAGGGACTTGCTCTGTTTCCATGTCCGTGTTTCAGAGGTAGGGCAGCGCCTTATTCAGCATTGTAGCCTCTGTGTCCAGCACTGGGCCTGGCACAGAGCAGGTATTTAGTAGATGCTGAACTGAGAGAGAGAGGCTCTTCCATGATCAGGACAAGGACATAAGAAAGCAGGAACATGGGAAGCATGGACCTCTGAGTTACTATTTTAGCACTGGTCAGAACTACTCAAGATTCACCCGTGCCTGTTTTTTCAAGCCTGAGGCTGTAGGAGCCCGCTTACCTGAGTGCATATAGGACTGTGCCATTGGAGAAGAGGCGGATGAGCCTGTTTCCCACAGTGACTTCATGAAGAAAGGACTTCTTGGACTCTACTATGTAAGTGTCTGGCACCCAGAGGAACTCCACAAGGCGGGCATCCAGAGTGAAGCTCTTATTGCCTTCAAACACCAGCCGCTGGTCCGTCCACCGCTGTCGGAGGTATATGGTGGCTGTGTAGTCCTAGAGGGAGTAAGGGGATGGGAGTAAGGGGATGGAGGTATATGGTGGCTGTGTAGTCCTAGAGGGAGTAAGGGGATGGGAACCTCACGTTTAGGACCTTAGCTTACTTGGCAAGAAAGCTCACGCTAGATCACAAAGGGCCCACCAAATTGCTGAAGTTTTTGATGGACTAAGTGCTTAGATAGTCCAGAATTCATCCCGGATACTCAAGTGGGCCTTCTTGGCAGACTGCCTCTGGTTTGACCTTGTCTTTAATGTGTTCTCTTAAGTGAGAGGATTGCTGAAAGCAGTCATTTGATTGTCAGTTTTCCTCATTTATATCCCCTTTCACGAAGGACCATGTGACAACCAGGCTTGCCTATTGCACTTTTATTATTTTTCCCAGTTTCTACCCCTCACCAAATGTACCCTCTCCATTCTCTGGCTTTTTTCCTTCTGGCCTTTGAATCCATTTTCTTCCTGATACTCAGAACATCTATTCTATAAGAATCTTCTATGGCCTTGAGTTTTAGGATAGGTCCCCAGCTTCTATCATTCCAGATGAAGGAGGGCTGGGAGTCTTTCTTTTCTGAGTAGCTAGAAAATACTTCATAGCCAGGTGTGGTGGCTCATACCTGTAATCCCAGTACTTTGGAAGACTCAGGTGGAAGGATTGCTTGAGCCCAGGAGTTCAAGACCAGCCTAGGCAACACAGCAAGACCTTATCTCTACAAAAAAGCAAGACCTCATCTCTACAAAAAGTCAGAAAATTAGCTGGATGTGGTGACATACACTTGTAGTCCTAGCTACTTGAGAGACTGAGGTGGAAAGATTGCCTGAGACCAGGAAGTGAAGGCTACAGTGATTCATGATTTGTGCCACTATATTCCAGCCTGGGTGATAGAGTGAGACTCCAACTAAAAAAAAAGTCCATCCTCATTAAACACAAGAGGAGGGACTCTGTGGAATATAGAGAGACCACACTTACCATGTTACTTTCTGAAATGCTAGAAATACTTGCAATGTCCAGAGTGAGTGCTATCTGAACTGGTTCTCCTAAAAATGAAGAAAAAGATAGAAAGACATAGAAACACAAGTGTAAGATTTCCTAACACAACATTAGTGCATTAAATAATGATAAAAAATTACAAAAGTAATACTTGTTTGTTAGAAAAATTTAAACAATCTAGACGTATAAAAAGTAAAAAGTTAATTTCTATTGTCCCCTCTCAAGAGTAACCGCTGTGCTGAGGTGAGAGGATTTCCTGAGCCCAGGGGTTTGAGACCAGCCTGGGCAACATGGTGAGACCTCGTCTCTACAATATATCAAAAAATTAGCCAGGTGTGGTAGCACACGCCTGTAGTTCTGGCTACTTGGAAGGCCGAGGCAGAAGGATAGCCTGAGCCCAGCAGGTCGAGGCTGCAGTGGCTGTGAGTGTGTCACTGCACTCCAGCCTGGGTAACAGAGTGAGACTCTGACTCAAAAAAAAAAAAAAAAAAAAAGAGTAACCACAGTGTACACTATACCTCCCTTTAATATGAACAATATGCGCAAGTATATAGGTATCTTAATGCATAAGAGAGACCACACTGTCTAACTGGTGCATATTTTAAAAAGCATAATGGTGAGATATTTGTTACTTCTTACATGGAGGATTTTTCCTATGGTGCTTGCAAAAAACAAATCATTTAGAAATGTAACAGAGACTTATAATCTGATTGTGCATAGATGTTGTTTCTTGTCCTCTTTGACTAAGTAAATTTACCACAAGATGGCATTCAAGACCACTCATAGCTGAGCTCTTGCTGACCTCCTGACACTTTTCTCCTCTTTCTTTTCTCTCCTGGAACCTAGACTATTTTGAATTCCAGAATTTTCCCCTCTTAGTTCTATGTGCAGACTGTTAAGCTTCAATCCTGCAGACAGATTGAATTCTAGAGAGAGCTAGTCTTTGCTCTAGAGACCAAGGTGTCAGAGTAACCTTTTCAGAAGCCAGGCCAGTCTAGGTCAGGAAAGTTTACTCCTCTTTAGACTGAGATGTGAAAGAAAAGCCCTAGATCCCACCTCTGCAATCTAGGAGAAATTACCAAATCTTTCAGAGCGGCAGTTTTCCCACCTGCAAGTGGGGCTAATACTAATGATATCATAGGGTTATGGAGAAGGTTAGGCATGTGACAATGTCTCTGTAGAGTGGTGGCAAGAGAGGATGTGTATGAAATGTCTGTCCAACCAGACATCTGGAACATGCTCTTAAATGATTATCTGGCTGGGCTCGGTGGCTCAGCCTGTAATCCTGTGCCTTTGGGAGGCTGAGGTGAGTGGATTGCCTGAGCCCGCGGGTTCGAGACACGCCTGGGCAGCGAGACCTCATCTCTACAATAAATTAAAAAATCAGCCGAGCGTGGTAGCGCATGCCTGTAATTCCGGCTACTTGGAAGGCTGAGGTGGAAGGATCGCCGGAACCCAGCAGGTCGAGGCTGCGGTGGCCGGGAGCAGCCACTGCACTCCAGTCTGGGCAACAGAATGAGACTCCAACTCAAAAAAAATAAAAAAATTGATTATCTGTACAAAGCTCCCAGCATCATGTCCATCCAACAGGTAAGAATAGGTACTCAATAATGAAATTTCCCTTCCTCATCTTTTCTGCAATCCTACCTAATTTTGGAAAAAGAACAACTTTGTTCAGCAGGTTAATAGATGCAATAGCATTCACCTGTAGTAAATAACCCCAGGGGTGGTTCAGGGGTCAGTGATAACCAGGAAGAGGAGAGATGGAATTCAAAAGAAGCTTATAAACATCCAATCAGTAGAAATTGGGCAAAGCAACCTAATTTTTTAATTTTTTTTTCTTTTTAGTGATAGAGTCTTGCTCTGTCACCTAGGCGAGAGTTCAGTGCTATGAACAGAGCTCACTGCAGCCTTGAATGCTTGAGTTGAAATGATCCTCCCACCTTGGCCTCCCAAGTAACTGGGACTACAGGCACACACCACTATGCCCAACTAGTCCAATTATAAGTCTAAGGAAACCAAGCTGTAGAATATAGGTAGAAATTTGGAAATTGAGTTTTGGGGCCAATGTCAGAAAAAATAAATTAGCAAGTGTTAATACTTGATGGAAACGGGGGAGATCTTTGAGGGCAGACCCTGGAAGGTGCTGATGGGGTGTGGTGCTAGATGGCTTTCTGCTCCTCCAGGCAGTAAGGTCCAGCTCAAGATAAGGAGCTTGAATTTCAATCAGGCCACTTAACAGCTTTGTTACCTTGAGCATTGCAAAACCTCTCTGTGCTATAGTTTTTCACCTGTAAAATTAGAGCTACTAGTGCTGCTATGGTTTGAATTGTTTCCTCCAAAACTTATGTTGTTACTTAATTGCCATTGTAACAGTATTAAGGGGTAGGACCTCATGGGTGGAACTGGTACCAGCATAAAAGGGCAAGTCCAGACCCCTCTTGTCCTTTCTTTCACCCTCTCACTTTCCACCATGTGAAGGCATAGCAAGAAAGCCCTCATCAGATGCCGGCACCTTGATAATGGACTTCTCAGTCTCTAGAACTGTGAGCCAATACATTTCTTTCTTTTCTTCTCTTTTTTCTTTTCGTTTCTTTTTTTTTTTTTGAGTCAAAGTCTCACTCTGTCGTCCAGGCTGGAGTGCAGTGGCACACTCATGGCCACCGCAGCCTCGACCTGCTGGGCTAGCACGATCCTTCCACCTCAGCCTTCCAAGTAGCTGGAACCACAGGCATGTGCCACCATACCCAGCTAATTTTTTTATTTATTGCAGAGACGAGGTCTTGCCATGTTGCTCAGGCTGGCCTCGAACCACTGAGCTCAGGCAATCTTCTAACCTCCTCCTCCCAAAGTGGGATTACAGGCTTGAGCCACCATGCCCGGCCAAGGCAATACATTTCTGTTCATTGTAAATTACTCAGTCTAAGGTATTCTGTTATAGAAACACAAAATGGACTAAGACAAGTAAGTGCCTACTATGGAAGGTTGGGTTGAGAAGGTTACAGAACCTATTTTAAGTGCCACTGGACAGTGTTAACTGACTTCACCCAAAGAATGCGGAGAATGGAAACCACACAAGAACTCGAGTTCTGTTGTGTTTTTGTTCAGTTTATTTCTACGCTGTCTAGTCCAGGCCTTGCCTCCATTGGCTTGCTTATGGGCCAGAGCTTACTCTTTCTTCCCCTTGAGTTACAAGAGTTAGCTGTGCCACCAGAGGGCAGCTTTCTCCTAGGAAAAAGGCCAAAGCCAGTTCCGGGGTAGTGTGCACTAGTGCCTGCCTGCAAACCTTTGCTCTGTCCAGGTCAGTACCTGAGAAATCATATACTGCCCCATTTCATGGAAAGGAAACCAAGACTCAGAAAGCTAAGGTGCCCACCAAGCAGTAGAGCTAGGAGCTCTTAAGGATCTCTGGGACTCTTCTCACATGCATTGCAGAGAGCAATGAATGGCTCCTCCATAGGTCCCTGGCTGCCAAGCAAATACAGGTTCTTTTAGGAGGCAAAGTGCCAAAATGCACAAGGCAAGGGGTGGGAGGTCGTGCCTTCCTCTCTTTTTAACAGGAGAGTTCATACTCCATTTTCACTCCAGGTGGGACTGAGCCTCACACAGGCCTCACATAGGCCCACTCCAGGCCCCCTGTTCTCAGAATGAGCTCTTTGCCCAAGGACCCTGTGTCATGTTGGCCAGTGAGCAGACAAACAAGAAGGGCAGGGTTCTTTGGGGTTTGAGAGGCAAGAGAAATTGTTGAGTGGACCTAACCGAGGTGTGCGGACTCATATGCTGGTCATTAGTGTTCAGTAGGGCCCAGGAGAACCAGGAATGTTGAAACCTCTCCAGGATCCTTAACATAAGGGCCTCAAATCCTGATTGTGTGGCCATGAAAATGCATTGCTCAGATTACCAACTGAGGGGTGTAATTGACTCAGGGTCAGTTACTGGTGTGCTTTGGAATCTATCCTTACGCTTGCATGGAGGCCAGAATTCCCATGGAAATCAGTGGAAATCAGTGCAGCCAACCAGTGACTGAGCACAGTGGGAACACTAAGGCAGGCCTGTTCCTGGAAGGTACAGAGATGGGAGACTCCTCTGATGGCATCTTTAACTCAAGCACATCCTTAAATAGGCTGCAGATCAGAAAATGGAGTCAACTAAAACCTCTCAAAACCCTCCACTGCATATTTTATTTGTTTCAGTCCTTTTGAAATGATGTCTTGGACATGGAGGATCACCTACCATCAAAATTGGGCCTGAAAATTTGTGGCCTTTCCAAACACACTGAGAACTGCACTGCTGTGTAAGACACTTCTGCCCAGCCGTCTTTCCTTCCCTCTCTCCTTCCCCTGATGAGACCTGCATTGTGGTCGAACATTCTCCTCCCCCTCCTCCCACCCCATTTCCCCTTCTAGACATTGTCCCACTAAATTTCTTGAAGTGGTTATCCCCTCTTGACATCTGCCCCTTGGAGGGTCGATACTGCCACACTGATCCTAGATCTGACCAGAGAGTCTTAACATCGGAAGGGAGGAGCAGGAAGGGTAAGGGATGAAAATAAACTTCACTCTATGGCTATGGCAGGCACTATGCCTCAGGCTTACACACTCTCCTTCATTCAGTCCTCCTTGTGAGTAGATAGATAGCCCCATTTCATGGAAAGGAAACCAAGGCTCAGAAAGCTAAGGTACCCACCAAGCAGTAGAGCTAGGAGCCAAACTTAGATTTGTTCAACTCCAAGGCTCTTTCTACTACTTCCTTCTGGAAGCAGTATGTAGTTGGTCTCATTGCCTCCCTCCTTGCCGCATTCTTTCAACAAATACTAATTGACAGCTTGTTATATGTCAAGCACGAAGCCTCTGTTGGAGTTAGTGAGGTAAATGGAGCCAGACCTCCACAAGGGGCTGCAGCCTAGAGCTGGCAAAGACATAAAACCTGCTACAGTATAACGGGGCAATGGCTATAATTTGAAGTTATGTTCAAAATAAAGTGCAAAGAAAGGGGATGGGGACTGGAGGAATCAGAGAGGGCTTCTCAGAGAAGGGAGCCTTTGCTGCGAGACAGAAAGGAAAACTGGCATTTTTCCAAGGAGTCAAGTTAGAAGAAGCAATTCTGGGCAGGTAAACAGCCTCTGCAAAGGCACAGAGGCCAGGGAGGCCAGGAATGTCAGAGAACGTTCGGGGCACACTGCGGAGCATCCTAAGAGAGGGCAGGGGGAGTAGCTTAGAGGATGAGAACATGGCAGATAGACAGAGGTTGGGCTGGAAAGGGCCCTGTGTGTCTGGACCCAATGCGAGGTTGCTGGGGCACGTGCAGGTGTCCCAAGCAAGCAAATGACCCAGGCGGGCCATCACTGGCAGTCTAGGGAGTTGGCAAAGAGGGGCAGGCTGGAGGCAGGATGGCCAGGTGGGGTCGTCCTGGTGTCACCTGGTGAGTTCCTTGAATAATGCATAGAGTGGGGGCAGAAAGAAGACAGCATGTGGGTGACTGTCTGGAGGCTCTCACAGTCTCCCCAGTGGGGAGGAATGTTTCTTTATCTCACAGGTGGATAGGCACAGTGCTTTCTTCAAAGAAGTGTGAAGACCCTTGCTTGTGTCCTCATCCATTGTCAACAACCATTAAGCAGGCTGCAGATCAGAAAAGGGAGTCAACTAAAGTCTCCTGAAACCCTCCCCTGCCTATTTTCTCTGTCCCTGTCCCTTTGAATTGATGTCTTGGACACAAAGGATCACCTACCACCAAAATTGGGCCTGAGAAATTTGTTATATCCTGCTGTAAGGTTCTCAAAGCCAGGCAGGGAAAGCTTGTCACTTCTGCTAATCTCGATGTTGAACTGATTCCCATGGGTGCACATCCTGGAAAAGAAAATGGGTTTTGTTGCTCATGCTTGTTTATGTGTGAATCAGTATGTGTACACATCAACTTAAGCTTGTGTTTGTGTGTGGGGGTGGTGTGTGTGTTTGTGTGTTGTACCTGTATCAACAGTGACTCTCCTAAAGAGAAACCTCTTCATTTTTAGCTGTTGAATTAGCATCTCCATTTTATTACCCATTTACCATAGATCAAAATGTCATGATAATTCAGGAACCTCCAAGTGTCTTCTAAAACAAAACAAAAAACAACACAGGGGTGCATCCACCTATGACCATTCTGGAAACTTCCATTCTCTCTTTTTTTTTGAGTTGGAGTCTCACTCTGTCGCCCAGACTGGAGTGCAGTGGCCACTCCCGGCCACCGCAACCTCGACCTGCTGGGCTCTGGCGATCCTTCCGCCTCAGCCTTCCAAGTAGCCGGAATTACAGGCGTGTGCTACCACGCCCAGCTGATTTTTTGATTTATTGTAGAGATGAGGTCTCCCTGCCCAGGCGGGTCTCGAACCTGCGGGCTCAGGCAATCCACTCACCTCAGCCTCCCAAGGCACGAGATTACAGGCTGAGCCACCGATCCCGGCTTCATTCTCTTTTTTTTTTAGATAGGGTCATACTCTGTTGCCCAGGCTGGAGTTCAGAGGCATGATCATGGCTTACTGCAGGCTCAAATTCCTGGTTCAGGTGATCCATCTGCCTCAGACTGCCAAGCAGCCGGGACTACAGGCACGTGCCACCATGCATGGGTAATTTTAAATTTTTTTTGTAGAGACGAGGTCTTGCTATATTTACTAGGTTGGCATCGAACTCCTGGACTTAAGCAATCCTCCCACCTCAGCCTCCCAAAGTGCTGGAATTATAAGTGTGAGCCACTGCGACTAGCCTAGTTCTCTAAATAAAATAAATAGTGGAAGGTTTTATTGTTCTGATGCTGCAGGGAAGTGAGTGGACTAGGTTTGGCCTTGCTGCACATAACTAGGAAGAGCTGACCCCTTCCACCACATACCCGTATGCAAAGCACCCAGACCAAGGTCATTCTGGGATAGCAGAGCTCACCTTTGAGTGAAGAAACTCAGACACAGCAAAGTCAAGTGGAGACTGTAGTTCATGTTGAGGAGCTGTTCTCACAGGGAGGGCTTGAAGTAGGAATCACCTGGGGAAACACGTGGGACATGTGAATGACAGTCAGTCTAATAGGCTCATCTGCTCTCCGTCAGTATCTTTCTGTGGGTAGTGGGCACAGTGTTTTCCCAGCATGTGTGGAGAGTAGTCTCTTTGCACGCCTTTTGGTGACAGTTCCTGCTGTCTGCATGCCATCCAAGAATGACTTCATTTTGGAGGATTATGTTTTAAATCCATCCCATAAAAAGACTGAAACCTTGTTTGGAGAGTGGTTCATCAGCACCAGGAATGCAGCCAGCCACCCTGGGCTGCCCATTTGGGGAGCCCCAAGACTATCCTTACCCAGTCCTTCTTCTGACTTTGCCAGGAAGGACACCCCCAACCCTACACCACTCCGACTGAGCCAGGACTTCTTTTATTTTTTGCAGGGTCTAGACCTGTGAGGCTAGTCATGTAGACAGGAAATTAAAACTTCCTGGAACCGTCCATGGGCCAAGTAGTGTGCTAGATACTTTCCCACAGACCTCACTTAATCCTCCCAATGGCCTTGTGTGCTGGGCAGGTTAATCCCTGTATTATGATGAGGAAACTGAGGCTCACAGAAAAGACACTATGCTAGTAAATGTCAGAGGAGACTTTGTTTTGCCTTGTCCCTGGTACTGTCTTCAGAACTGGGTAGGGACCATGCATTAGTTGGCCTGAGGACACTCGCCACTTTCACGACTGGATCCCTGAAAGCCCTGATGTGGTTCAGCTGGTGTAAGCTTGAGAACCTCATGGGCATGGCCCAGGGCCCGGCCTCCTCAGATTTGTGAGCTGTGTCAGATGTCCTTCTGAGAGAGCAGGAGGCAGCCCAGCAGGCCTGTGGCCCCTCATGCTGGCGACAGCAGAATGGGGGTTCTAAGACTCAGGCCCCATTCCCACGCAGCCTTGAGTGTATCACCCTTCTCTGTGGCAACCACTGTGAACTAGGCTACTTTCTAAAATCTAGCCATTCTGGAGCTTGGGGCGTGATTCAGCCATTTGTTAATATTATTTTACTTACAAAATCAATACACGCTCATTGTAGAAATGAAAACAAGTCAGAAATGCACACAGTTAGAAGTGTGAGTCCCAATTATGTGCAGCGTAAGTTCATCAATGACAGCAAATGGGCCACTCTGGTGTGGATGTTGGTGGTAGGGAAGGATGTGTGTGTGTGTGTGTGTGTGTTTGTGTGTGTGTGGCGAGGGTGGGAGATGAGGGCTTCAATTTTGCTATGAACCTAAGACAGCTCTAAAAAATGAAGTCTATTAACAAAAACAGAAAAAGTGTAATTCCCTCCCTAATTTCTTCCTTCTCGTCTCATACTTCAGAGAGAACTATTGCTAACTGTTGTTTTATCCACATGTACACACATATATTTATATACACATATGTCTCTGCACAAAGAAACAAATTGAAAAGTGAAACTGGCTGGGCTCGGTGACTCAGCCTATGATCCCAGCACTTTTGGAGGTCAAGGCGAGTGGATTACCTGAGCCTGTGGGTTCGAGACCAGCCTGGGCAACTTGGCGGGACCGCGTCTCTACAATAAATAAAAAATAAGCTGGGCATAATAATGTGCGCCTGTAGTTCTGGCAACTTGGAAGGCTGAGGCGGAAAGATCACCGGAGTCCAGCAGGCCGATGCTGGGGTGGCCGTGAGTGTGCCACTGCACTCCAGCCTAGGGGAGGGAGTGAAACTCTGACTTAAAAAATAAAAAAACAAGCTGGGCTCGGTGGCTCAGCCTGTAATCCCGTGCCTTTGGGAAGCTGAGGTGAGTGGATTGCCTGAGCCCGCGGGTTCGAGACCCGCCTGGGCAACTTGGTGAGACCTCATCTCTACAATAAAATAAAAAAATCAGCCAGGCATAGTAGCGCATGCCTGTAATTCCGGCTACTCGGAAGGCTGAGGCGGAAGGATCGCCGGAGCCCAGCAGGTCTGGGCAACCGAGTGAGACTCCAACTCAAAAAAAAAAAAAAACTGAAACAACAGCATGCATTTTTTTTCGCTCTTTACTTTTTTCCCCACTAAATAATTATAGCAAATATTGACTAAATACGTAATGCATGCTTGCACTGTGCCAAGCTTATCTGGCATCCTCACAACTCTTTGAGTTACTGCCATTCTCCTCATTTTGCAGGTGAGACAACTGAGGATTAGAGAGAATATGAAATGTTCTCACAGTTACATAGCAAGTGAGGGGCAGAACTGATTCAACTCAAGCTGACCAAGACTCTTGATCACTGTGCCATGGAACGGGCTCGTCCCAATATTAGCGACACCTTCTGTGTCAGTTCATAGAGATCTGCCTCATTCTTTCAAATGGCTACAAGGTATCTCACCATAAGAACGTACCAACATTCATATGACACATGTCCTATTATGAATATTAAGTTATCTCCAAAACTTTTACTGTTACAGAATTAGTCATGAACATCTTTGCTCTATAATCCTGCTCTCTGTCATGGTAGCTCTTTCCGACTTACTCATAAAAAATACCAGCTATAAAATCAGCATTTGTCACCCACCAACGATCGTCTTCACACTCTCTTCCTTCAGCCCATCTCCCCAAGCCCTGTTCTTCCCCCGTCCCACTTTCCCCCTGAGTTTAAGAGGGTCCATGGAGCAGCCCCTGTGGCCCTCATCCTTTCATTCCATTTTCCAGAGGTTTTTCAAGCTCCTCCTATGAACCAGACACACATGAGGCATCACCAGAGCTCTCACCCAGTAAGGGAGAAAGATATGTAAACGGTGAACTGATGTTCCCCACCTCTACCTGTAACAGGAGTGCAGGCAAGAGAATACTCAGTATGCCCAGGAGGTGAGTGGTCAGTGCCATTGGGGGAGATGGGGCAGGACCCGGATGGAGGTCACAGAGAAGGTTATTGGATTCTTGAGGAGAGTGTTGCATTTGCTAGGTGGATGAGGGAGGGTGGGGCCCCTCTAGATAGTGGACAAAGTTGTAGAGGCTTGTCCATGACCTCTCTCCCACCCACTTTCACTCAGCCTCTTCCCCGCAGCTCTTGACTGTCTGCTACTTCTTTCTTTTCCGGCCTGAATTAGCATGGCTGTCCTTGGGCATATTCCTCAATTCTTCCTCCTAGGAAGGAAGTTGCCCTTGATCAAGTAAGATGAGATGAGGAAACGTTTATTTAGTCTTTGGCTCCAAGACTCCTTTTTTTTGAGTCAGAATCTTACTCTTGTTATCCAGGCTAGAGTACAGTGGCACCATCACAACTTATCAAAGCTTCTACATTCTGGGCTCCAATGATCCTCCTGCCTCAGCCTCTCATGTAGCTGGGACTACAGGTGTGCATCACCATACCTGGCTAATTTTTTGTAGAGATGAGGTCTCACTATGTTGTCTAGACTGATTTTAAACCCCTGGGCCCAAGCAATCCTCCTGTCTTGGCCTCCTAAAGTGCTGGGGTTACAGGCATAAGCACCTAGCCACCAAGAATCCTTGAATAGTGCTTTCTCTGTGACCAAACTTCTGTTAAAAAGAAAGAATGTTTGGCCCTGGACTTCTGAACCTCTTCTGAGGAATCTTATGCTCTGAGAAGCTTTACTCAGGCTAGAGTCAGACATGTGGTCCCATCCTATCCTGTTTGCTCAGCTAGGTTGCTGAGAGTATCTCATAAAGGAAGAAAAGAGAAGTGGAAAGAGCCTTCTAAATGCCTGCGAGGTGCTAGGTGACGCATTTGGTACTTAATCTCATTTAATTCTCATGGCCAAATGGCCCAGAGGTGTTAATTTTTAGAATCAAGTCTCAGATTTGTGAAGGGATTTGGCACAACAATTGATGGCCATGACTCGCATCTATGTTTTCCAAATCCCCTGTTCTTTGTCCTGCATCTAGGAGAAGGACCCCAAGCCTCCCAAGCTGAACTGGATTCCACTGGACTCTGGTCCTTCTTACACCAAGCCCATCTCTGGGATGTAGTATTGCATCCATGGCACATCCCAAGTGACAAGTGCAGCTGGTGCCATCACCCCATGTGGCATGGGGGCCAAATCCTTAAGTGCCTATTTATGTATCTGCCAGCCTGGGTGGAGGCTCAGGCCATTTCTGATAGAACCTCTAAATACAATGGCATTTAGCTGAGAGATGCACTGAGCCACCAGAGAGCAGAGTCCTAAGAGTTGTCCCAGCAACTGCAACACGGATTCTGGCTGGAACCATCCAGCTTGATCTTCGGATTCAGGCTCACTTGAGTCATTTAACCTCTCAGAGCCTCAGTTTTCCCATCGACAAATGAAAATAGAAACCATTCAATAACTATCAGGTTTCACTCTCTTCTGCCTTCCACATCTTCCATGGGGAATTCAAAGATCCCACTATGAACAAGAAACCCAAGCTCTTTCTAATATGCCCCCAGCTGCCATTCAGAGTGTGGACTGACTGGCACCACCTCAGGAAGGACAGGGTCAGACACAGGACATCAAGGTCACACGGGTGGCAGATGGTACATTTTTCTGGCTCTGAGAAGCAGAAGTAATTCCCCTATCTGTGAATCTCCACTCCCATCCCTAGAGTCACCTCCAGCTTCCTTCCTTCAGGCATGGGTTCCCTGCTCTTCAGCATAGACAGGATCACATATTGGGAAGCAGTCTGAGGTGACGAAAGGCATCATTGCCATGGCTGCTCCTCAAGAAAATCATGAAAGGTGAAGCAGTGCATGGCGTGCCCTGTGTCTGCTGGACTGGGTTGGTTGATGGGTGAGCAGCTGAGGCTCTAGTGTTAGACGGAATGAATTCTCATCTGGGCTCTGCTGCTTGTTCCGAGAGGGTGTCACTTGGCACAAATTAGGTGCTCAGCAAATGCCAGGCCCTGCTCCCGTCCCTCAGCCCCAGCAGGGCCTGTATTTGGATTGCCTCCCCTCCCCTCTCTTCAGGCACCAGGAGGGGCTGGCCAGCAGTTCCCTTACCAGGCAGTGTTGATGCTCTGTTAAGGAAAGTCCTTTGGGTTTTCAGGCAGGACTTGCAGGCAGGGCATGGTCTTCTGGGTCCCCAAGGTTCTCCCCATCCTCAGCCCTGACCCCGTGGATGTGAGCACGCAGCCACTCTCTGATGAAGCGACTCTCTCTGGGGAGGACTAGAGCTGCTGAACCTGTTGGACAAAAACAGAGGTGGGCGGAGCCTCTCCTAGCCCCACCCCTGGTGAGGCTCTGTCTTGTGTGGCATCTGTGGGAATCTTTGACCTCTAGGGGTTTGATTCTGAGATAGTGTCTCAGCCATGCTCCTACACTCCAGCCAGAAAAGACTCTTGAGATCAAAGACCCATGAGAGTCAGGAAGAGTGGGAAGACCCCACCTGCCATGCCAGACTCTGAACTTGGAGGCCACTCCATCCTCCCATTGCAATGGAATGGGAGTTAGCAGTATGACCTTGGGCAAGCCACTTCACCTCCTTAATCCTCAGCTTCTCATCCATAACATGAGAACTTGACTGTTTTCAAAACTCTGATTTCTGGTCATGCATTTTAAGAACTTCTTTAGGGTCAACAGAAAGCCCTAGTCTATATTAAAAGAGACTTTCACATCCTAGGACCAGTGCTTTCCAGGTTAGGAAGTTGCAAAAGGAGACCTAGAGGCCAAGAGAATGGAGGCTAGAGGCTGAGCAGGCCAACCCAGAAAGAGGCAGGACAGACTCTGGGAGGAATTTGGCTAGATTTCTCTATCTTTCCTCCTCCCCCCGTCTCAGCCTTCATACAGAGGATTCTTTTACTTCCTGCAAAGTCCCTTTAGGAGCATCCCAGAGAGGGAAGCCTTCTTCCTCCCTAGCCAGCCGAATCTACTATCAAAAATTCTTACTATCTGTTCACTGAGCCCTGAGTCATCCCCCTCACCATAGCCAGTAGCCCCTAAACTCACTCTTGATTCCAGCCCTGTGGGTAGATCCAGGGAGCTCCTTGGGGGTTTGGCCTTGCACCCTGAGGGAGCTGGGATTCAAGTCAGAAGGGAGTCAGATGGAGGGGCAGGGAGAGAACTGAGTCTGTGGCGAGATGCCCAGAGGCATCTTCTTCCCTCCTGACATCATGGCCAAGCTCCTGCCCAGTCCTTGCCCGTCCTGAAGTGGGGGGAAGGGAGGATACAGAGAGATAGCAGGGAGCCAATGGAGTTGCAGGAAGGGGGGCCCTCAGTGTACAATGCATCGTAAATGTCTTTGGCCCCAAACCAACTTCCTTGGTGCGCCTCTGGAACCTGACCAGCCTCGAACATGTTTCTCTGCTGCTTGGTAGGGAGTGGGCACCCGAAGAGAAAGCTCTTTCATTCCTCCTGAAGTCTTTACTTTTACCCAGGAACCCTGCAGGCGACTAGAACAGCAATGGTTGAGCAGTTGAGCGAGTCAGTTTCAGGTTCTCAATGCACAATGGTTTGAGGCTTTTCTCAGAATTTCTAAGATGTTCTCACACAGAACAAAGGCTCAAGTGTAACAAAGACAATTCAGAGCTGGGAGGGGAGGGTGGGAGGGGGTGTCCCTCTGATTCAGGAACTGTGAGCCATAGATGGGAAGAACATGGGCTGGCTGACTGCGTGGCTCTGGGCAAGTTGCTTAACCTCTCTGGATGCCAGTTTCTTATCTGACCATTGGGAAGGATGATTCCTCATGGCAGTGCTGCAGGGATTCAGCATGATAGATGTGGTAGCCTGTCTGAAAGTAGCCAGCACATTGTACTTGGCACATTGTATGTGCTCAACAAATTGTTATTTTTCTCTTGATGCTGTTAGTGATTTGTCATGTTTGTACTTGTTTATCCAACCCTCCATCCAAGTATCTATTTATCTATCTGTCTATCTGTCTATCTATCTATCTATTACCAGTCATCTGCCTATATCATTAATCTATCATCTATCTATCATTGTTCTTCATCACCAGCATCTATCAATCTATTTGTCTGTGTTTATTTTTATTTTTTTAATTTTTTTGAGTTGGAATCTCACTCTGTCGCCCAGGCTGGAATGCAGTGGCACACTCATAGCCACCCTAGCATTGACCTGCTGGGTTCTGGTGATCCTTCCACCTCAGCCTTCCAAGTAGTCGGAACTACAGGCACGTGCTACTACACCCGGCTACTTTTTTTATTTATTGTAGAGACGAGGTCTCACTAAGTTGCTTAGGCTGATCTCGAACCTGTGGGCTCAGGCAATCCACTCACCTTGGCCTCCCAAAGTGCTGGGATTACAGGCTGAGACACTGAGCCCAGCCTCTGTCTATGTTCAATTTTCTTAATCATATTGTTAGTACTTTCATTGCAAGGGACTTGAATCGTACTTCTGTATAGACATCCAGTAAATATGTTAAGAGACTGATTACACTTGCAGGCCTGGGAAAATCAGATCTTAAGTTAATAAAATAGGTATGATAAAAGGTTTTTCCCCCAGTTTCAAACAATGCTTCAGTCTAGTGCCAGCTTCTTCCTAGGTTTCTTTCAAATCAACTGAAGAGATGCACAGAGTAGGGAGCTTCTAGGGAAAATAGCTGCTTCTCCAGTGGTCCCAGGCATTCTTGCTCCTTGGCTACAGAATCTCCGCAACCTTTGCACCAGCCAGGTCACATAGTTTCCGAGTGTGACCTCAGGCCTCCCAAAAGGTATTTCGGGATGTTCAACTATGCAGATGAACTGCCCACAGGACACTCATCTCAGGATCCACCTCCTACTCCCCCTGGCTATACACCCTCCTAGAATGTGTTCCAGAAAAACAAAGGCCAGAGTGAGTCGGTGTGAGCGGTGTGAGCCTTGCACCTCAGTCACAATGCATACAGGACACTAAGTCATAGTAACACCATGTACTTACACAGTGCTTTGCCATTTTCAGAGCCTTTTACTGTGTGTGTGTGTGCCTTATTTTTTTTTGAGCCACGTAATAATCCTGTGAAGCAAGTAGGAATTGTTTCTCTATTTTCATTTTGCAGATGAGGAGATGTAAAGCTGTGTCAGCCAGCTACTGAGCGATGGAGCCATCGCAGACTGGAACCCAGGTCCTAGGATGTGAAGTCATCTACCACATGTCCATTCAGTGATGGTGGAGAGTACAGAGGAACAGAGTTCGAGTACAGCAGGGGACAGAGACAGCCTTTGGGTCTTCCCCTTGCCTGGGAGGATATCAAGGGACGAGACTACTTTGTATCTATGTGTCCTTGGAAATGTTGCCTGTCATAACTGGATACCCCCACCCATCTGCAATCCCAGCTGGAAATTGTAGAACAACCTCAGTCTTCTCATTTTCCCTCTTTCCTACTTCAACACCTTGTTGACTCTCACTCCTGACACCTTCTCATTCTGTCTTATCTGCCACTGCCTGGTTCAACATCTCCTTGCCTTGGAAACTGGGGACTCCAAAAAGAGGCATGAATGTACAAGGCCCTGTGCAACATGAAACTCTGGAATGTAGGGAGAAAATATTAAAACTTCTATGGCTTCAACCAATAGGAAAGACATTGTGCTTTAGTAATACGTGCATGGTTACTATGTGCATGGACACTGGCCATTCACTGGTCTGTTGGTCAGACAGTCCAAGGTCATGAACCAATGGACCAAGTCTGAGGATGGAGCTGGAGCTTTGCAATGTGGAAGGCTTGGCCCCACTACCCTTTGCTCTCAGTGCAACTTGACCTTCTGCGGTTCATGTGGGCTAGGTTAAATGGATTTATGATTTGTTTTCACTAAATTAACCCAAAAGAAATGAACATGTGGCTTAAAAAAAAGAGAATCCTAAAAAAAGAAACTACTGAGAGAAGATGACACTAATAATACAAACAGTACGAAAATGGAAGTTGACACTTCACCCATCCTAACCTAATTAGACATCTTCCAAACAAAGAGTTTGAAGTGGTGTTCACGCTCTTTTGTTAAAAATATAAAATACAAATGACAAGTTTGTAAGAATAGTTGATCAACATCAGAGAAGACAGAAATTTATCAGATGAAGTTAAGCAAAAATCTTTGCATAGTTGGTAAGACTGAAAAATTATTATTTCAGTAAGTATGGACAATATAGTACTTTTTCCATTTGGACCTGTGCACCTTAATGAGGTTTCTTTTATTAATTCTGAAAGCTATTAGAACCAAATATCAAAATACTTTGAACTTAAAACCAGACATTCTAAATATTGTACTGCAAAAATGTTAATACGAAGATAACACAAACATAATAAAACATATCAACGACATGTTATTTCATCTTTATTTTTATCCATTTAAATACCTCTTTCTGGGCCAGGCTTGGTGACTCAGCCTGTAATCCCAGCACTTTGGGAAGCCAAGGTGAGTGGATTACCTGAGCCCATGGGTTCGAGACCAGTCTGAGCAACTTGGTGAGACCTTGTTTCTACAATAAGTCAAAAAATTAGCTACCACACCCACCTGTAGTTCCAGTTACTTGGGAGGCTGAGGCAGAAGGATAGCTGGAGTTCAGCAGGTTGACACTGGGGTGGCCATGAGTGTGCCACTGCACTCCAACCTGGGCAACAAAGTGAGACTCCAACTCATAAATAAACAAACAAGCAAATAAATACTTTCTGGATCTATCTTATCACACATACACACACACACTCTATAAGGACAGAAGACATGTATGTGGTTTCTACGTAAAGAAATGTACATATATAGAAGGCATAGGATCAAAAAAGTGTGGAGACAGTTGGGCCAGGCTATTGAGGAAGTTCCCGGTTGTTCTTTCTACCTCCAAATGTACCCCTCTCTTGCCCACCACATATCACCAGGCTGACCTTCATAACAGCTGAGGGGAGATCAAGTTCTTCTTCTGACTTCTGCTCTCCTTTGAGGTGCCTTCTCCTAGAAAGGATGGAAGCCCACTTGCCTTTGGGGGCTGGGCAGGTTATGTGACGTAGGAAGAGGGCTGCATATAAGAACTGGGTAGAGTCATGTTGAACTGGAGAGTTCTTTGCCTAGAAACATTTCAATTAAAAAAAAAAAAGTAAACCCGGAGCAAGCAACAGAAAACACCGCTGTGACCTGGGTTCTGTTTGGGGGCTGGCAATAATGAGCTCTGAGCAGGTCAAGGCCAGGCCTGTTAGCAGGGAGAATGAATGCATCTTTTCTGATAGGTCTTTCACTGCTTCCTCCCAAAT